ACTATTATAACACTTTTACCACAGGTTCCTATGGCAGAGATATTATGCAAAATCTCAAAATCTAGCCAGGTGACATAGGCTGAAAAAATCATATATTGTTTATGATGGAGTACTTTTTGTTGTTCTGAATTATTTAAAAAATCTGGGTTTTAGAAAGTGTCAAAAAATGAAATTTTTCTTTAACATTGTGTTCTATGGAATTGTTCTAAAAATAGCAATTTTCAAGAAATATTAGGACACGTTTCTCAAAAAGCTTAACTGTAACACACAAAATAATGTCATTTCATTGTACCATGAGACATTAGCTTCATGATTGTACATAATAAACTAATTAACATTGTCACGTGATTTATGACCAATTTTGTCAAGAATTATGACTAAGCTTCTACCTTAAACAAAATTACTGAAAAACTCGTCCACGAAATGACACGTGGGAACCTAGACAGTCCTTATTTCGGACAGTCTGTCGAGATTAAGGGGTTAAAAAAAACTAATTGTTTCGCCACACTGTCTACCTAAGGCCTCCACGACGGAGTAGTCGATATGAATGGTATAACGGCGTCAGCAGTGATGATGTGTTAAAACAGATAAGCTCGCGGCAAACAATAACATGCACGAATTATGTTACGTATTTCGATACATGTTGTATAAAAATAGGTGCACTTTTGCTAGGGGTTAAATATTAATATGCGATTATTCACTGAAAATGTAGTTATAGATACAAAGAGGATTTCTGTTTTAAACATGGAAGAGCGCATTTCAATTAATCCTGCCGTTTTTTTTTTCAGTCAATGTTTTTTGGCAAACATTTTCTATAATGTCAATACGTGGACGCTGACACAATTTGACGTGAATGGTTTTGACAAATGATTTTTTTGATTGACGCTGATGGGTGGTAAACAGGTTAAGCTTCGAGACAGATGACAAACATGAACAATAGGGTAGGGTTATTAGAGATGAGGAATCGGCGTACATGTCTGGGATGCGTATATGCATGTTGTCATTCGCTGAGACACGCAGATGATTCAACAAATCACTGACAAACAATAACGGAAACGCAATAACGCGAACACTCTTTTATTTACAGTTTTCGTTTTACTTAGTTCTCAACAAATTATTCAAGGTTTCCCGAACGTGGCTGAGTTCGAAGTGAATGCGTGGGTCTTTTCGTGCGATAACATGTTCTATAGTCCATGTATTGGCATAGGGCAAAATACTGAAACAAATAAGACCATACCCCCCCCCATTTTTTTATTTTTCAAAATGTAGTTCATGAAACATTGTTTCATTACCCAGGGTTCAAAAGAACCGCAAGTTGTTGTTTTTTTAATTGAACGGACCGTTTTTTTTCCTCATAGAGACACATGTATTAACTCCGTAACCACATCGGTAATTTATCACATTTATCTAAAAAAAATAGATACATGTCCCTAATTAACATTTTTCACATGACCTTGTATAGCAATAAGCAATTTATTTGCAAAATATAAAAATAATAATCCAACAACTTTTCTGGAACTTTATTTATGTGACGTCATATCTTCAGTTGCGAAAACCGGTTCTTGCCAACCATTCACTGCCACGCACGCACGCAGAAAGTAAACACGTGTCGCGGCCTATACCAATTATTGCACTCAACATTGTCAGTTTATGCATATTTGCCGCGATATACCTGATGACGTCACAAAATATGTTTAAATATGGCACATTACACAAAAAAGAAGAATGGCAATTTAAAAATTGACAATTATATTTTATTTTTAGTTAGTGTTTTCTGGGATAAATACTGTACATATTTAAATAATAAACTATTCAATTTTGTACAAATTCATAGATAAGAAGTTGTCTATTCCAGAGACACTCAGGAAAACAGGATACTGGACAATTGTTAGCCAAAGAAGATGCAGTTTTGTTGGCACATAAACTAGGAGAACAAATTAAAGTTTGAAAACGCTGATTTGATTGTCATTTTGATGTTAAATTTTGGACCAAATGTACAAATTTTAACCATTCGGTTTTCGAAATTTGATAATTTATGTGCATTTATGAGAACAAAATTTTGCAAAAGTCACTGTGACTCCATAGTTCCACAGTGAAAGTCACTATGACTGCCTAGATACCCAGTGAAAGTCACTGTGACTGCTTAGAATTGTAGGGAAAGTCACTTGTCACTGTGACTCCCTAAGATCTAGTGAAAGTCGCTGTGACTCCCTAAAACCTCAGTGAAAGTCATAGTGACTGCCTAAGACCTTGGTGAAAGTCACAGTGACTGCCTAAGACCTTGGTGAAAGTCACAGTGACTGCCTAAGACCTTGGTGAAAGTCACAGTGACTGCCTAAGACCTCAGTAAAAGCCACTGTAACTGCCTAAGACCTCAGTAAAAGTCACTGTAACCGCCTAAGACCTCAGTAAAAGTCACTGTGACTGTCTAAGACCTCAGTAAAAGTCACTGTAACTGCCCAAGACCCCAGTAAAAGTCACTGTGACTGCCTAAGACCTCAGTAAAAGTCACTGTGACTGCCTAAGACCTCAGTAAAAGTCACTGTGACTGCCTAAGACCTCAGTAAAAGTCACTGTGACTGCCTAAGACCACAGTAAAAGTCACTGTAACCGCCTAAGACCTCAGTAAAAGTCACTGTGACTGCCTAAGACCTCAGTAAAAGTCACTGTAACTGCCTAAGACCTCAGTAAAAGTCACTGTAACTGCCTAAGACCTCAGTAAAAGTCACTGTGACTGCCTAAGACCTCAGTAAAAATCACTGTGACTGCCTAAGACCTCAGTAAAAGTCACTGTGACTGCCTAAGACCTCAGTAAAAGTCACTGTGACTGCCTAAGACCTCAGTAAAAGTCACTGTAACTGCCTAAGACCTCAGTAAAAGTCACTGTGACTGCCTAAGACCTCAGTAAAAGTCACTGTGACTGTCTGTAAGATCCCAAAATTTACCCATTTCCTCGACTAAAATACACAAACCGTGAACTTAAAGTGGTTTACAGGATATTTTCTATTGACTAAATATATATATATATATCAATAAATTAAAAATAAAAACTATACATATTGATTTTCAAGTTCAATGGGTTATAAGGCGGTGGTCGTCGCACCACAATGTATTCGATATGGGACTCACAGCAACATATACAACAATATGTACATTGCAAGGTTTGTTTACATAAAATTCGAACGTACGCTGCGCAACAACCATCGCCCTTTAACAAAAGACGTCATGGGCACACAATATTATAAATAAATATCAGCGGTCTATTAAAGGAAACAGATCGAACATGAAATTATGAATGAAACCATTGTCTGATAAACCGTGTATGAACATGTTGAATGTTTTTATTTTATTTTCTACACAAGACAGCTATTCAATATTATTGTCACAACGTGACTGATCTCTGAATACGATAGCCACAAAAATACAGTTGATATATGAAATAAATAGAGACGGAAACAATACCAATCACAAAAAAGTATCCGCTATTGAGTACAATGGCATAAAAATGGTGTACCAGCGCTTTTTGTGAAATATTCAACACAAGAACAAATGTGATTAGCAATGTAATTCTGTTGAAACAATTCGAATAAATTTCAGAAAAACAAGCAGAATAAATGTTTCCTGGTTAAGTTAGTTCATAATGATGTGTTTGGGATCCTACTGGTAGTGTTTTTGACTAGCACTGAAGATATTCAAGAGTTGACCTTTTCACCACAAGATTTCTCACCCAAATTTGTCTATTTTTTTTATCTTATATTCTTCAATATTCCTAGAAATAAACCCTAATTTTGGAGCCAACAGACAAAATTTTAGTCAATTTTCAGTCTTAACTCCAAAAAATTGACTATTTTTGTCCAAATCTTCCGAATGAAGTGCAGACTATAAATGGGACTATTTTGTGAATTTGTGATTAAAAGAGGGAACTGGTGGTGAAAGGGTTAACCATATATGCACATTAAGAGTACAAGAGTATTTAAATATTCAAATTCACCTGTGGCAGAGACTGGTTAGGTGCACTCAATCGAATTGGATTGCAATCGGTGGAGAATATAAAATAGGTTTACACAGATGGCGCTTATTACAAGGTGTAAAAACAAGCATATCAATCCCTCCAGTTTGGTTAGTACTTAAACTGCAAATTTAGAATGAATTTTGTTATCAAATTGCATAGGCTATTACTGCAAAACCATAATTTCACTATTTTGAGCATATTCACTGTGTTTTAATTTTACAAATTTGTCAGGGGACACAATGAGTTTTATTGTTATTTCACACGTTCACGGAGATTTAATTTAGCGGATTTTACTGATCAGCAAGTATAACAAAATTAAAACCCAACGAATAATTAATGTATTTACAATAATAGAAAACAAGGTCATAAAACTAACCACTGTAAATAGTATGAAAACTAGTTGTAATGCATTGCCTGCTGGCGCCATTTTTTTTTCAAATCCTCAGAGGATTTCAGCAATGTTTTAAAACAAATACAGCCTCAGGGTTCACATATTCATAATGTGGGTGCCCCCAAACTACACATGCACTTCAACCCAAGGGGATCAACGGTGACTGCTTTAATATCAATCCTGTGTACGGTTTACTAGAAACCGTGTCCTGTGCAAGGGAAAATGCTTTAACATTTTTCATGCACATAAGCACAGTGACTGGATGGTGTAAAAATATGGTGTTGCTTATTGTCGTGGTTATTATTAGAATAAAATGCGTCGAAGCTAATAAAACAACTCGTGGGAAAATATTGTCACAGTAGATCGTGAGCTAGAGCTCATCGGTGCATGGAATTTATTTGTAAATAAGTGATATAAATTCACCGGGTAGTCCAAACCCGCAAGTCAAAATTAATTTAGAAAAAAAGATAAACTGGATTTTAAATATTTATTTTATCCACAAATTTTAAGTCCAGATTCTGGGGGTGGAGTGGGAGTGGCATGAATGCCAACCCATACACACCGACTAGCATTATTGCATATTTAACGTACGGTATTTAACAATTGGCTAAAATGGATGATAATTGTGCCTCATTTGAACACTAGGTGGCGCTATATTCATTAACTTCAATCTTCAATACTGGTACTTTCAGGGGAAAGTAAAGCACTACCTGAATAAATTTGCAGCATGAATATGCCATTCCAGTTTATATCTGCACCCCCCTGTTGATGAGGTCGGATTTCCATTACTGTATGGTGAATGATGATTTGGAAATAAAACTTTGTATGACTTATACACCCATGGAAATTATACTCTGTATGAAGTAAACACACAAGCTCATCAACGGGGGTGGGGGAGGGGGGGAAATGTAGTATTTTCATATAATATACCGGTAATGATATGATTTTATTTCAGCTTAGGTATTCTTCGTAGATTGATGTAGGTTAATGTCAACAGTATAACTGTCATACACGCCATTGCTATCTGATTGGACCATATCCCCCAATCGGTGTAGTTGACGTCCTGCGTTTTCAGGTACACAGTGCCAGGCTGGCTGCGAAGGTAAAACGAAAAACAAGTAATTGTAATTTATATGTCTGTATATTGACAGTCCATGAGCGTATACGTCCATTTCCTTGACATGCTGCATATCACAGAAGTACAGACAACATACCACATCCGAGGTACATATGCACAGTAAACTTGGTGCAAATTAATAGAGATTGATTAGGCCTCCCTCAAAAAATGTTGCTTCTCACACATCTGTTTGAAAACACTTTTTTAGCAGTTTCGCAAACTGGTAAAGTTTGCCGTAATTGTCTGAATACATCATTTTAATTGGGCAAGAGTATTTAATTATACACTCATACATGTTTTTAATTACTGTGGAATATTTAATTTTCACTTTTTTTGCTGGAAGAATGATTCAGTGAATATAAAATCCAGTGAATATACTTTTTTTCCTATATTTTACATTCAACTCGTCAAAAATCAGTGAAAATTCCATACAAAACACCCAAAAAGTCTATTCAGCAAAAATGAAAAAATTAATTGCAGCTAAAATAAAGTATTTTACAATACACAAGTTATAACACACAGTAGGGGTAAGTCCATCTGTCAACTGATATCGACAAAAGTAATATTTTGCGATATGGACATGAAGTGTATTTTGAGTTCAAAAAAAATGAATGAGAAAATTATTTGTTCAGAATTATGCAAATGACACCAACAAAATTAACTGCTGTCGACAGTGGCCGGCTCACGATCGTAGAATTTTTGTCAATCAGCAAAATGTAATTGAGCATACAACACTAAATGGCATCTGTATTTTTGTATATAATGTTGATTTGAACAATTATAACAAAGTTTCTAACAAGAAACTACAGGTGTGAATTTGTTCCACTAATGATGTATCTATAATCACTGTACATGTATGCTAGTTCCAGGGCCCAATTTTATTTTACCATGGTTGCAAATAGAACGTTTCAGTCGCTGTAACACAACTTTTAATATATTAGAGCCGATACAATGTCCCAGAATTACATTTAAAATGAAGTTGGTATAATATAATGGCAATAAACCACTGGTATACTATGAGATTTTGCACCACCTGTGACAAATACTTGTGTGTATATGTTGTGAATTTTCCAAAATCTTGTAGTATACCCGCCTTCGGTGACAGTTTATTACACTGTAACCTCAATATAATGAACACCTTTATAATGAATTTCCTGATATAATGAACACATAGCGTGTCTCCCGCTCACAACAAACCCAATGTATTATGTGCTTCATTATAGTGAACATTTCACTATAACAAACTAATTGTATGTCTCCCAAAGAGTTCATTATAATGAGGCTACTTCAGTATGGTCAATGTAAGTAGTATATATGTTACTGTGGAATACTTTATTTTTGCTGGAAAGGCTTTTTGGGCATTTTGTGTGGAATTTATTTTCACTGATTTTTGATGAGTTTAATGTGAAATATATGAGAAAAAGTATATTCGCTGGATTTTATTTTCACAGAATCATCCCTTCAGCGAAAATAGAGAAAATAAATTCCAAGCGAAAATAAAGTATTTTACAGTAGTAGTGATATGTACAACAATATTCAGCGAAATTATTGACTTACCACACTTGAATGGGAGCGATAGTGGCATTCAGTGAGATAGTTTCACTGGTAGGAGGCTGCGTCGGAGGCTGTGTCGGAGCCATCGTATCACAAAATATCATATCCCGTAGCTCAACAGCACTCAACGTCTACAGAAAAAAAATCGAATCCATTATCAATAGGTCATTGTCAGTTGTACATCAACTTTTCATTTTCATTTGAGCTCAATAAAGTATGCTCTCTATGGGAATAATGAGAGAATTCTCATAAAAGGTAATAATATATTGTGTTCATAGTACTTCTAGATGCAACCATAATAATAGGTATTTGTAAAATTTTCGAAGTAATTGTACTACTGTAGAATACTTTATTTTCGCTTGGAATTTGTTTTCGCTATTTTCGCTGAAGGAATGATTCCGTGAAAATAAAATCCAGCGAATAAACTTTTTTTCCTATATTTCACAAACTCATCAAAAATCAGTGAAAATAAATTCCAAGCAAAACGCCCAAAAAGCCTTTTCATCGAAAATTAATTCCAGCGAAAATAAAGTATTCCACAGTATTTTGACAAAAGAATTACAGACTGTGTTTTATTCTACTCACATCTAAGCTGTACTTGAATATACTGAAATAAGACAGCCATCGCAGCCACACAACAATACTATTTAGATTAACAAGGAAACCACTGAACACCTGTAAAGTATAGAAATATGTGCTTTTATACGATCACCAACAAGAATGGCACGACAATTCTGTATCAAACATATATTCACTTTATTTTTGTCACAGGTGGGTCTTGAGTTTTCTTCTCTTGTTAAACTACCAAGTGTACAACTAGTGTTGATTACTCAATTAAAAAACCAAATTTATAACCAGACACCCTTTCTCAAAATGTTTAGAAATATATGCGTGATAGCAAGTTCTTGTCTGTGCTTCGATTCATAGTTATGTATGTAAGAAACAAACAGACCCTTATCTTCTACGCACATTGCGCAAATTCTCTTTTAAACAACAAGACAACAATCAATATTTAGCAGATTCAAACAAAACTTTAACTGATCTTAGATCATCAATAATCACACACAACTACGAGAACTCAAAACAAATCTATCGGTCAGCTGTTATTTAACCTACCATCATAAACACATAGCATAGAGATATAAATAAGTTTGCCAACTGAGCAACAGACACGAGAGAACTCAAACAGAAAGCCAAGGATGATGCCGTGATTGCAGTCAGTATTAGATTCAGCAAAAATATGAAGAAATTATCAACTTCTAATTGAAAACCTGAAAAAAATTAAAAAAAATAATTGTGAAATGCTGAAGGAAAACTGTTTTCAATTACCACAAAAACAATATTGATGTAACATCTCATCATGTGCAGCGAGTATTAGAACAGTCTGATTGGTCATTTAATGTCACATGACACATAACCACCAATGATGTTGATTTATATAATCATGTGACAGAAACTCACCAATCATAAAGTAGGTGACAGTTGCAAAGATGGTTGTGGGTAATATTCTCATGGGAATCAAATCACAGAAGACCTTAGCTAAAAAGAATGCTGAGACTCTGTAGTAACCACTGGCCGATTCATGTCTGTAAATCAAGGAGAAAATGTTACATAATTCTACGCATCACACAACCATATTATGTCCACTAATAATCAGTACTGCTTTCATTTACTACATTCACATGCCGGAATTTTTAATTCTTCATGTTTGCAGAGGGATTACAGCAGTTGAGTTCACATTAGTCAGTCACTTGACTTGAGCCAAACACACGCCCTCATTCTTGATCTATTGTTTGACCCAAACATGACAGACGAAGCTCATATGATAATGATAATAATAATAATTGCTTTATTGGAATCATATACATTCGCTGTTTTATTTATTATGAGTCAATGTGCACATGAACGGCAAAGAAGGATTTGAAGAAGTTGTATTTTTCAGAAGAAACCAGTTGCAGCAGCACACGAACATGCTCCGCTGACAGTGTTCTGCATTCATTTCATTCATTACTATAGCATCTGACCATATCTGGCTACACATTCCTAAAATTGCCATGACATACTAGTATGAATCAGTATATGTTCTCTTAAATTCACCTCCGAGGGTGTGATTTTGGTTTGTGCCGAGTGTTCAGACAGCAGATATTAGCATGTGCTGAGTTTCTATTGGGACCAAGATCAAGTTTTTCTCGGCATGTGCTGACTTGGTCCGAACCGCACACACACACGTTTCGGTATGTGTAGACTTGGTCTTGACACTCCTGGCATGTGCTGATATCTGTAACATGAACACCACTATTGTGTAGCTAGATTCATTGCAAACATAAGGACACTCATCAAAGATGAGATGCATGTACTTACAGAAACTGCACTCGTTCTTGGATAAATAATTCAATAGCGGATAAATTACCAAACACCATGTTCATTATTATGAAGAAAAAGGCACCAATTCTGAAAGAGCATGTTATGAAACTTTTTGTCACAAATGTACAATACATGTACTACTATGGCTTCAAATAGAACCCTACATACTATCACTTTGTTGTTAATTTCAATAATTTGAATCAAACGCCAATGTGTGAACCTAATATGTAACTACTGTACAACCGAGTCTTATCATGTACACCTATGAACAAACTTTGAACTTGACCAGCTGTTTTACAACACAATTTAACCACCACCTACAGCTTGCTTTTCACACAACTTGTTCTGAATTACTATTGGTTAAAATTAATCCCAAATTGCAAATTTTATCAGGCCATAGATCAAAGTTTATTCACATATTATGACAGAAAAAGGCTCTAAAATTATCAACCACCAATATTGACCAATCAACATTAGGATCCTGAACATATGAGGTATAACAACGACTCATATTACCAGCATGTGTTGAACTTCAAAGGACACCTAATTTTAAAGCCAAAGTTTCTAAAAAATGCCTTGTACTGACAACTTTAATTATGTTGAATGGCGTTAAGGCAATGGAAAATGTAGGCAATTGCCTCTAGGAATTTTCATCTGTGTAAATGTACCAAAAAATAATAAATTACAGCGTATGGCTATTCAAATACTGCAAACTGCTTAATTTTCACTGCTAGCATATTTCAGGATTTGATGGCGTTCGTGATGACAACATTTTTGAAAGTCACTGACACTTTGTGTCATCAGATCCCAGAGAAATTTACATTGATACAAAATTTCATAATTTTCACTGACTTTTCATGTGAACTCAATAAAGTATGCCCTCTATGGCAATAATGAGAGAATTCTCTTAAAAGGTAATAATATATTGTGTTCATATTACTTCTAGATGAAACCATAATAATAGGTATTTGCAAAATTTTCGAAGTAATTGAATTATTTTGACAAAGGAATTACAGACTTATATTATATGTTATATTCTACTCACATCTATTCATGATGAAAATTCAGAAGATTTGTCTCCGGGGAAAGTAAAATGTTTTGCAGTAGATATCAATTTATAAACAATAATTAAATATTAAATATTGTTTATTGTCTTTTAGGCCACAGGCCCATATGACTATACATAACAAAAAAAACAAAAGAATACACAAGCACTGGAGAATGTACAGAAATTGTAAAATACATATATATATATAACAAAATTATTATACCGATAATAACGAAAACTCCCTTCTAAGGTTGAATGCTTTATGTAGAAATTTACCAAGATTACGTAGTACCTTTGCTGATTTTGAGCGCATTAGACTGTAATATTTTTCTGGATTGGGAAGATGCCAAAAATACTCAGGAATTAACTGTTTTCGCATAGAGTGAAATAAACAATAATTACAACAATCAAACCGATACGAAAGCATCACTAAGCACCACATGACATGGTGCCAGTCGTTCATCCAGCCAACACTGCATAAAACACTGCCAACAAATAAATCATGTACAATTCTCATACAAAATCAACATAATGAATACAATTATTATAATTACCTGTTTTGTATTCCAGTACTAAGAGAGTCATCTATTTGCCAATAAATAACGCCAACTACAGCAGCAAACAGTAGCATAATAAACATCTGACATAGAACAAAATAAAGCAGAATAACTACAAATTCAAGGTGGATTGCTGTGAATCTGAAAATGTGTAAGGTTGCTTAATACAGTTTCAAAAAGTCTTTGGAATTTTTTTTATATTTTGCGAATAGATGGCTCATTTCTATACAAGGTTATATGTGAAAAAAGAAATTGGGGGTACAGACCTAAGTTTTTTTAGATAAAAGTAATATTACTGTACGTTGACTACAGAGTTAATACATAGGAAAAATTCAAACAACACCAATTCTACTTGAGATAATAAAACAATGTGTTTAGAACTGCACTTTGAACAAACAAACAAATTGGAGTATAGACCTATTTGTAAAGATGCAGTAGTTCCAGTAATTTGTCCTATGTTAACACCAAGTGAGAACAAGTTCTCACAACATGACCACCACGTTCTGGGAAATGTATTGAGTAACTTTAAGGGTTGTTTAGAATTGCCACAGCCAATCGATACTTGTCGGCCATTTCATGAAATTTGAGCTGTCACTGTGATACTTACATAGAACTACTTTGTGTGGAAGGTTACAACCTACTCACCTGCATAACAGATGTAAATGGGTTCCGAACTATATTCAGTACAGTCCTCTTAGAAACTCTAGATAGCTGAAAGAAGTAAACAAGAATATTCGCATAAGAGTTATAAAAAAAAAATCAGTCACAGTTGACTATTCCTGGTTATAGCTAAATGTACAACATACCCACCTGTCGAAACCATGACGTGGCGTACCCAATCATAAGAAAAGCGGGTTCTTCGGTTTCTCTGAACTTTGCTAGAATGGGATTCAGTTTCTTGACAAGATCTTGATACCGAGATGAGTTTATAAACTGCATTCCGAGTTTGTCTACTCCGCTGTCTCTTTGGATGCTAGGATCCGATATTCCTTGTTCTAGTACATCTGTCATGGTAAAGGTAGCACAAAACAACAAAACTTGTATAAGTAAAGTTTACTTCATAAAGAAGAAAATTTAGAACGTAATGTTGATCAGTGTGCCCTCTAACAGACTGATATTGTAGGGATTTTAAATCAAAATAGAATCCCCAAAATCAAGCCAACTCAGATTAGTTGACTGCTTCAAGAAAAAATAAAACTGTATGTGACTGTACTTACTGCATTGAATTTATTTTGTTTATAAAATGTAAATTTCATTTTACCAAATTACAAATTCACTAACTATAGTAAGATCACTTTATCAATGTTCAGTTTTTTGTTGCGCCAGTGAATTAGCACAACTCGTTGCGTCACAGAAAATCTCTGTGCGTCAGTGACGTACCTACCATATCAGCTTAGAGGTCACATAGAAGTTGGTCATAAATATGTCATGCATATTATATAAACCTTATATCCTTTGTTGACATATTACAGCTGTGGTACTGGTGTCAGTGCGAAGAGGTTTTGCTACAGGATGATGAACTAAATCTTCAAATATTTCCAGCAGTTCTTTATCATTTGTCGAGATCCAACCATCTTTTAATGATGATACTTGGTGACATCTATACTTCTAATTATTATGAATCCACAGACACCCAATCTCCCAAACATGATCATAGCGTTCAAATCCCTGCTGGTGAGTCAGTGTTAAATAAAAACAAAAGATGACAAATTTTACCTATAGAATCGTTGAGGGCAGTAACAGCAGTGGAATCTCCATTGATCACATCCAGAAAGAAATCAGGGGGATTGTTATGTTCTTCACATTCATATCCTGGAAATAATCAGTATTCACATATGATATGAAAATAATATCTCAATTATATAATATTTTTTTTATTGATTCATGATTATTTGTTAGAGTAGAGAAATTAATTGCTTTCAGTTTCCAAATTTCCCAACACTATCTCATGCAAATATGAGGAAACACACATGGATACACGCATACAAATTACGATTCTGATGTTAGTTTTGATGATGATGATAAATTGTGTCATAATTACCAAATATTTAAATATTTTCTATTAATAAATTTTTTCCATTTACTGTCAGATGCTGTTATGTAAGCAATCAAATGTGAAAACGCAACAAACAAAGGTCAGTGTTGTAGTGGCCTCAAAACCTCACATGGGATTTAAGAAACGAAAACGGTATTTTTGGGGTATTTACATGCTTTACATATTTACATGGTCGTCGCGCAGTGCGTGTTTGAATTTCATGTAAATAAACAATGTATTTTACACGCGTTGTATACGTCGCTATGAGTCCCATATCGAAAAATCAATATTTCAACATAGAAATAGAATCAAAACATTCTGTTTTTGCAGTAGACATTTGGACTTTCAGAGATTATATTAGATCTTGCAGTAATGGAAAAATCACCTATTGTACCGGAATGCATATGTTCCAGCAGTAAGATGACGCACACTATTCATGTACCACTGTAAAATACTTTATTTTAGCTGGAATAAATTTTTTGCTGAAAAGACTTTTTGGGTATTTTGTATGAAATCTTTTTTCACAGATTTTTGATGAGTTGAATGTAAAATATAGGAAAAAAGGTATATTCGCTGGATTGCATTTTCACTGAATCATTTCTTCAGCGAAAATAGTGAAAATTAATTCCAAGCAAAAAGAAATATTTTACAGTATTTCAAATTAAAATTTAGTTTCCATAAAAACTGAATGATAAATAAGAAATTAAACATACTGAAACGAAGCAAAGAAAAGGTGATATTACCTATACTGGAGAAGTAGTCCAGCGCCAGATCCTTCGGCCCGTGATAGACTGTATCACCAAGTGACAGTAAATGTAACATATCAAAAGTTTTGTAAATAGAGTATCTCGGTTGATGAATCGATAAAATAATGGTCCTTCCATTTTTTGCAAGTCTAAAATACAAAAGAAGAAGAGACTGTGACAATATCACTAATATATACAGTGACAAGAAACATGTTTGGACTGTACAGATCTACACAATATACAGCGCATGAAATTAGGCGAGGGTTCTTCGAACCCGCCTATTCACATAGTTCATACCCACCATAGACTCCGGTCAGTCAAAATGACTATTTTGAACTGTAGGCATTAATCAGCGATTCTGCCGGTGACGGAGAGATAGAATCCAGGTCAGGGGAAGCCCCATGACCTCAAGATTCTTTTACCCCTTACGTCACGAACCCACGTGACCGAGGCCACATGGCAACGCCATAGGCAGCCGTCCATCACTCTGATTCCTTTCTCTCCGCCTCGAGGACTTAGACCAACGCGACGGAAAGAGTGGGGAGGTTGGGGGGG